AAATGTAGTGCGACATCGCTATATTTTACGAAGCAATAAATGAAATTGTATTTGTCGGGTCGTTAAACATATAGGTGCCGCTATATATTTTAACTGTGAGTAAATGCATGGTTAGTAGAACAGGCGCCTTAGATTTAAAATTAAATAATTTATTCGTAAAAGGGCGCGAGGAGGAGAAGCGGGAGCTTATAGGTTATTCTAATCTGTTATCAGGCGCGTACGCAGCGGGGGGGGCAGGGGGACAAATCCCCCCCCCTCCCCCAAAGCCAAATAATGCAGATGCCGGATTATATTTTTCAAAAATATTATTGTTAATATTAATTTATATTTGTTAATATTTATTCTTATCTCATATATACATATATATATATATATATTTTATTTATCACATTCATCTACTAAGTTATTTTATCAATCAATTTCGATTTCAAGTTTTCCTTGGCGTAATTTACCTATTATTTTCAAATTTTAGTGGCTTAATATTTATCTAAATTTCTAATAAAATAATAATTATCTCTGAAACTCCTTGTCCAACAGGGAGAAAAAAATTGCAAGCTTGTCCAACGAGATCGAGTCTCCGCCACAGTAACAGCTATTTTGGAGTTAGAAGAGCTGATTATTAATGCTATTACTGAAATATCACAATGGCTTGAAAGAAATATTTCCTCAGAAGCAAGAAAATTATTGGATTCAATACTTATTCCAAATTTTTTTTCTCATTAGAATGTATTATTTAATTATACAACTATTTTATGTAATACTTTTAAAAACATAACATTGACTTGATTAAGAAGATGAGAATAGCGGAGAGCATTTTATTAGAACTCAAGGAAATAGAGCTAGTGTTGTTGAAGAATTTCATATTTTATATGTTATTGTTGAGTCAAAAGCAGAGCTACATGTTAAATATATGTCCCCCTCGACTTGCAGCAAGCAAGCTCATCATCAAAACATTAATATAGAATCAGTAGAAGAGTATTATAAAACAAATGTCCCCTCTCCCAACATTTTTCATATGGTGATAGAAAAAAAATATAAATATTTGTTATATTTTTATCATGAAGATGTTAAAATATCTTATGATGCCTTATTAGCTGAATAACTATGATTGAAAGATTAACTATGGTTGATACAGTCCCAAAAAATGCTATGGATGCTTTTTATTTCAAACACATTTTAGATTATACTCCCAATTATTAAAATGGTTATATAAATATTAGCAGCTCTTTAGTAAACTAATGAGAGAACATTCACTTTTTTAAGAAGAATAACAGAGCCTTGCAGAGGTACCATTTGCAGGACCAGGCCCAGATTTTATTTCAAAATTTTTTCCGGCCCGGGTTTTTTTTAAAAAAATTTTCAGGCCCGGCCCGGCTGGCTTAGCCCGAATTTTTTAAAATAAATTATATTTATTTTTGATATTTATAGCTAATAATGGCGATTTCAAATATTTGGTTTTAAAATATACAACTCGGCTCGGATATTTTTTCTTAAAAAATTTTCAGGCCCAGCCCGGGTGTTTTTTAAAAAAAAATTACGAGCCCGGCCCGGGTATATTTAAAAAAATTAAAATACGGTCCGGCTCAGGGGCCTGGCCTGCAAGTCTGTGAAAAACATACCTATGAAATACAACATCTGAAAGTAGATTGAATGATTTGGATCTTTTGAATATTCATAGACATTTAACGCCAAGCAAGGATTGATAATTGAAAAATTAGCTCAAAACATACAAAATACAATTATTCCTAAGAACATTTAAATTTTTTATACTTTATATATTTTAAAAGCTCAAAAAATTCAAATTTCAATTTTGGGTCATTTAGGTGATTCATATCGTGGGTTATATTCACTTTATATTTTATGATTCACATTTAAATTCCGGTTTATATATATAATTTTTTTAATTCACATTAGTTTAAAATTGTGTATTAGAAAAGTTATTAATCCTAATAAATTTATGCTTAGTATTTTTAATTAAAAATATTATTTCTTAAAAAAATTTATTATCCCCCCCCCCCAGACCAAATTCCTGGGTACGCGCCTGTCTGTTATATATTACTTTTTATTTTTTAGATAAAGATAATTTAATTTTTTTAAAAATTAAACAACAATACAAATTAAAAATTATAAACAATAAAACAAAGCTGCGGTTACTTAATAATTTATAAATTTATTTGCAATAGCAAGTTTAACACGACATAAAAAATGACATGTTATTTTTTTTTATGTTTTGTTGTTGTTGTTAAGATAAACATTAAATAATAAAAGTCGTAGGAAAAAAAAATATTTTTGTTAAAAAGGTATTAATTTTAGAAGTTAAATTCAAAATGACATAAATTATCATTATAATTATGATAATTAAAATTGTAATAATTTATACATTTATTTAAAACGTTCAATGTTACAATTCGTACAATGATAATATCTTGATCATTAGGTGTATTGCAAGTACTATAAATTCAAAAATTTATAATGCAAATTGTTTTAAATTTACTGGGTAAAAATATACACACATGATGGAATACTTTTTCCGCAAATTCATTCTTTCAAAATTAAAAAAACGCGAATGACGATAAATTTCGGACGATTATGTAAATTAATAATATCTAGACAAATTCGTGTATTGACTGCATGGGCGAAGCGAATTGACTAGCATATATGGGTACAGGATATATTTTTATATTATAAATAACTCACGTTTTGCGTTGTCTATAAAACAATACATTATTATTTCTAGGCCTAAACGGCAGAAATTTTTTAATTAAACAAGCATATTAAATATAAATAACTATAATTGATATGTCCTATATCTCGGTAAATGTTATATTCCAATATAAACGTTATATTTTAATAGAAAATTTTCATTTCTCTTATTTTTTACTAAGTGAAAATTGGTTATTGAGAACAAAAGTCTAGCCAAAAACTATATTTCCATATGAGGCTTATTCAAAATTGGATATGAATCGAATAATCGACATTCATATGATTAATAAAAATTTACTCTTCTTTGATTTCGAATAATTCGTTTTTTTTAAATAAAAATAACATAAAGTTGATAGATTAAGGTCATTAATGCAATGTATACTATTTTGCCAATTAATGTAAAATTCACATTATAAAATAGGATTTTAGCCCCAAAGAGAGACTCTGAGTTGATAAGATTTTATTCTTTTTTTGGATATTATTTTTATTGAACCAAATTCATTCATATTTACATGTTAAAAGAAAATTGAGATATATTTTAATTTTTATTATAGAGTGAAATTAAGGAGATTTAAATTTAAGTCGGTATAATATATTTATTGGTTGTGTCCCAAAACAGAATTTTTTTAAAAAAACTTTTAAATTTTAAAACTATAACGATTAAAATTTTCAAGTAAAAATTTTAGGAGGACTAAACTCTAACTAAGTGAAATGGCAACAGTTTTGCAAAATTCATTTTAAGTCAAACATTTTATGTTTATGCTGATAAGCGAATCTCAGGTTCATTTTGCTAGGTTTAAGCCATGCCTTGTATGGGATAAATTTTAATGTAATATTGTATGTATGGTGTTTTATATATATATATATATATATAAATATCGTTTATAATAACGAGTGAAACTTTATTATTGCTAACCTAATTCAAAATCCTGTTAGGACAAGAACTATTCAATACATAGCAATGCCAAATAAGATGATAATGGATGTGTGAAAGATATATTAAAACTAAAATTCTATTTAAGACAAATCTTTATAATTCTTTATTGGAGACAACAAATATACAATAAAAGCAATAAATTAAATATTGTTTATTTATACAAACTGATAAGTTATTCTAAAATTTAGCTTCTTTAGGCTAGATTTTTTTTCTCAATGTTAATTAGAGGAGGGAGAGAACACTTTATTTTTGAAAAAAGTGACTATATGTTTGAATACTTAAATGAAAATAAAATAATCAAATTCAAAATTCTTATGAGAGATTGTTCTATATCTTAATTGCATGAGAAAAGAAGGAATACGATTATTTTTACTTTATTCAAGAGATAGGATATGACCAAATAAAATTGATTGTTTTGCTCCTAGACATAAGAATAATATACAACTCTTGAATATAATTTATTCAAATTTTTTTTACCAGTTAAATTTTTAGATGTAAAATACCTATTTAAAGCTTTTTTACCCCCTTTCCCCCATTCAATTAGAATTAGTAAGAATGACACACTTATATTAAATTATATACCCTAAATGTTGGACATCAAATGTCTTGCTTCATTTATCTTTTCTTTAAGAAAATCTAAGCCTCCGACAACCAAGAAAAAACTTTACCAATCACTCTGTTCATCCTTATGTTACTAGTAACAATTAATCAGGTTTGGATATAGCTTCAGGTAAAAGATTTGGACCTCACTATTTAACAAAATATATATAAATTTTTAAATAAAAAGCTATTTAGTAAAAAATAATTAGAATAAATATGTTCTTGGCTATTACACCATTTAAATAGGCCATGTTGACATATAGTCAAGCTCTGCTTGAACTGACTCCTTTGAGGGCCTAACCTAGATAGGAGGTTAAATAATAGGTCTGTTGTTTTGAATTTATTTCATTTAAATAAGTACAACTAATCTGATTTCCATAGTGTAGAAACAAGATCAAATAATTGATTTTTTTAATATTATTTAGATGAGGACTTATAATTACCACATTTTAAAAACTTAAAATTGATTGAGATTAGCAAAATAAGAAAATCATGATAGATCTCTTAAATTTATTTAATAAAACTAAATTAATTGTATAGAACTATTTTGATGTTTTGTTTTCCCTAAAAAGACAATTATGTAAACCCAAACTTAAGATAAATATAATAATATTTAAATTTCAAGTAACAATAAATATCAAATAGAGAAAAATATTAAATTTATAAAGAGAAGAATAAATAAGAAATTTATCATATACCTTAATAATTATATTATAATAAATGTAAAATTCTAAATTTTATTCAAAAAAATAATATTTACCTGTAATTTAGAATGCAGACGAAATTTTCATATGAAAAATATTTTACGACAAAATATCGAAAAATAAATTTTCCCAATCAAAATTGTTTTAAATTATTTGTAGAGATAATAAAATATATAGATTTTAATGCAATACGATTATTTTATTAACTCTATTATATTCTTTAACTTAATTTAGATTAAAGTTTACCAACTTAAAAAATCTGATAAATACAATGTAACAATTGGTCAGGAGTGGTAACTGGCACCAAAATGATAATGCAATTGGAAGTGAATGTGAATAACATATCTCAATTTTAAAACTGTTATATCTATTGTTGTACTTTATGTTAAGCTTGGCAAGGAGTTAGACAAGATTTAACTAAAAAATTTAAGATTTTTATTTATAAAAATATATACAAAATATTTTAACTGCAAAGTACAATAAATTTCTACGCTTATATAGTTTACAAAATCTATCAAGTAATTTATATCGAATTATTGAGTTAATTTTATAAAACGAGTCCGCGAGGTTAAAGTAAATTTAATATAAAAAATTTTAAAAAATCAATCTTTTAGTTAATAGATAGCGATCAATTAGGACATCATAGCACTTTAGTTCCAAATTAATAAGCAATTTTAACCTAAACTATTTCACTTATACTAAAATATACATTCACAGATATATTCAATCTTTAATATATACATTCACAGTATTGTTAATCATATTTAATCGATTGCGATTATATTATAATTGATTCTATAGATGTTAGTAGTTAACCTCATCCAATATAATATTAATATAATCATTATAACCATATCTAATCGACGAATATAATAATTTATAATGTAGAAATAGTATATTTCAATATTTACATTACTACATTTCCCTTTTATTATTTGAAAGGAACGCCCACATCTCTTCAATTATTCCAATTGGTGGCTTTTGCCCCCCCCCTCTATTTGGTGTCTCATTCCACTTCCTCTGATCGCTACCCGCTATTACCGTTCAGTAGCACCTGCTACCACACGGCCATTTAATAAGTCAGGATGTATTCGCAGTATGCCATCTAGCGTCTCTATTATATATGAATATTACCCTCCTATCTTGAACTATTCCTCCTCTCCAGCTCTCATTGGTTTTGTTCCATATCCCATATTAACCAACGCAAATTCTCTAACACAGGAATGTGCGTCATGCTCGACATTGTTTATCATTAAATTTATTCATTTCATTTTCCACCTTTGGTCTAGCCCAATCTGGACTAGTTCATATCTGACTACCGAACATAATCTTCGCTGGCGACCTACTAGTCAAATTATGTTCTCCCAATACGCCTCTACTTTTTGGATCTTTACTTCTTGTGGATCACTAATTGGATTTCCACAGGCAGTATATCTTTTTCAGAATAGTTCGTTCCGCCTGCTCATTTGTCTTAAGGTGGTATGGCGTTGAATGTGGAAAATGTTGTTTTCTCACAATATAGCTTAAATTCTATGAAAATAAATTTAAGTCCATTGTCAGTTACAATGCTTTTAGGTACTCCAAAGGTAGCAAACCACTTTTTTTAATCTCGTTATCATATCCTTCATCGATGTGCTTCTCATCAGGCTTACCTCTGCCCATTTTGAATATGATTCTACTCCCAATAACCAATATAGAAAGTCAACCTGTCCTGCAAAAATCTATCTAGATGTATACTCTCCCATGGCTCTTTATTAATATTCCATTAGTATAAGAATAACTCCATTACGTTTAGTAGATTTTTTTGATGCTCAACACAAAGTTTAATATACCATTTGATGACCTCTTCCCACTTATGTTGTAATTGTGGTAATATTCAAATTTACTAGATTAAGAAAAACGAAAGATAGGCAAATTACTTTTAAACAAAATTACGAAACCGAAAGATATTCAAATCTACTCAAGAAAAAAGAAATAAATCTCGATGCAAATTGAGACTATGTAAATGTTGATTAAAGAAAAAGGATATATAATGGAGAAATTATGATGCGAAAAATTATTAATTTTTGTTTAACTTAGATTTTAATTTTTACTTTTTAATTTTTTACTTTTATTTTTCTTATAGTAATTTTATTTTTCTTATATTAATTTTATTTTTCTTGTATTAATTTTATTTTTCTTTTATTTTGATTATGTTTTTCACTTTGTATTTGATTATAGTTATTTATTTAATAAAGATTAATAATCATATTTTAGTATATATTTTTATTTTATATTTAGGTTCTTAAGTTCGTAATACAAAAACTCCAGATTGTGACAATGGTGCTGGAGAGAGGAGGCGACAGAGCAATTACAACTTTTCAGTCTAATGCAAATCAATATATACGGTGGGACAAGGAGACGTGTCAAACTGTATTCTTATACAAAAAAAACAAAAATTCCAGAAGAACATAAGAAAAATATGTAAATAAAAGTAGGAAAAATATTTAGAGAAATATTCTAAAAAGAAGAAAATTTATCTTTAAAAATAAAAATTGGATAAAAAAGAGATTTAGATTTATTTTTAAAGATGTATGTTGAAAAAGAAAAATTATTTTTATAAGATTATGTTTATGTAGGAATATAAAATCTAAAATTAAAAACAAAGAATTATAAAGGTAGCATTCATAGTAGATAAGATAAAAAGAAGTTTGTGTTTAGTAATTTAAAGGTGATAATTAGGAATTTTATATTTAGAAGTTACTGGTAAACTAAAACCATATGAATTTTGAAACTAATAGAGACTATGGTATTTTAGATTTTAAAATTATTATAAATTGATCACTAGAAATAACTATGACAAAGAAAAAGAAAAATAAATTGCGAAGATTAAAATTAAACTAATAGTTTGCTAAGATATAATAATTTAAAAATTGGCCGAATAAGATTAGAATATAAATTTATTGTTAGAAAATAGTTGAGGTTACAATAAAATTCTTATTGAAGATTTACGTTTAACTTTTATTTTAAGGGCTGCGAGAGATAAAACAGCCTCAAGGATTTGATATGTGAATGTAGTATAATATTAGGTTGTAGATTAACCAAAAATCTTCATAAAGAGAAACGGCTTTCGTCATTAGAAAATATATACAGCAATCGAGCTCAGTTAGAGATCGGATTTTTATTTTTTGAATCAAATAAGATTTTAAGGCAATTAGGCAACGTTATTCTAATTATAGTAAAAAGATAGAGAAATACTAAAAAAGAAATGATAAGATTTATTTTAAATTGTTTTAATCGGTTTTAGATAGAAGTAAATATCGTGCAGAATGAAGAAATAATTTTTTCTTAATAATGATATGGATATGAAATACTTCGGAAAAATAAAAAGACATTTTTTTGATAAAAATAAAAAGACATTTTTTTGATAAAAAAAAAAAGGTAGGAGAATTCAAGATGTTTTTAAAAGAAAAATTTTAGTGTTGTGAAATAAAAAGTACGTTTTTTTAAAACAAGTTGTGCTAGAATTATAGAATCATAATTTTGTGTTTTAATATTGATGATAGACATAATTGTGAGAATCATAAATTATATGGAATGAAATTGATGATAACAAAATTATGAGAATCAAATTCAGATAGAATGAAATTGATGAGACATAATTATGAGAATCATATTTTCAGATAGAATAAAATTGATGATAGACATAATTGTGAGAATCATAATTTATAATGGAACAAATTGATGATAGACACAATTATGAGAATCATAATTTCTGATGGAATGAAATTAATGATAGACATAATTGTGAGAATCATAGTTTATAAAGGAACAAATTGATGATAGACACAATTAAGAGAATTATAATTTCTGATGGAATGAAATTGATGATAGACATAATTATGAGAATCATATTTTCAGATAGAATTAAATTGATGATAGACATAATTATGAGAATCATATTTTCAGATAGAATAAAATTGATGATAATAATTGATTTGTATTTTAACAAGTCTCCGAGAGTTATTAGAATCATAATTTTGGTGTGTTGAGAAACAACGAGATTTGCGAGAAGATAAGTCAGTTGGTGAAAAAGAATAAAAAAAGATATTTATTCCAGTTTTTTTTGAACAATGGACGTGAACATCATAAAGAAAGAGAAACAGATATTTTAGTTTTCTTTAAAGAACGGGCGTGTACCACAAGATTACAAGATTATTTTTAAAAATTTAGAACTAAGATTTTATTTAGATTCCAGATATTCAAGAGAATTTTAGATATAGATTCAACGGTAGATAGACATGTTTGACAAAGGATGTGGATTGATAGCTAAAGGACGATTACCTACAAAGGGCTCAAGGAAGATATGGAGTTGGGCTTCATTGAGGGTAGAGGGGTGATAGAATTTGACATAATAGTATAATTGATTTAGCGTATTTTGACTATGTATTATAATTTTAAAATTTAATTTAGAGAAAAAAAAAGAGAAGTATATCGAAATTAAGCTATTTAATAGATTATGTGAGGAGAAATTAGATTAGAGACGATAACCTTATACATTAAGACAAAGTGGACATATGATATATTTTATTGCTATATTAGATTTGAGAATGAATGTAATAAAAAGTGATAAGGAAGTTATAAATTATTTCAGAAGTGATAAAGGGTTAAATAGATTATTTTAGGTAGATGTTTTAGATGCGATTACTCGAAACCTGAAGACAAAGATCAATGAAAATAAAGATATCTTAAGATAAAGTCGAGATCCTGGCAAGTGCAAACTGTCGTAGAAGACTTAGAAATCTAAAAGATCGATACAGTTACAAGAATTAGATGAAGGAGCTAAACAATTACAAGAGAACGTTGGAAACAAGAGACTAGATAGAACAGATAGTCAAGACGTTCACGATGCATTCGTTAATCGTTGACCAATATAGCCAGGTGTTTACTGAAACTCTAGTCTAAAATACAAAAGTCAACGATCATAGAGACAAGAATTGTGGAAACAATAGTAATCGCAGACAAATTATCGCCAATCAATTTCCGAGAAAAAGCGTCAATCAATTATAAGAGAACATTTTAAATAAGAAACTAGATAGAACAGATGTTCGAGACATTCATGCT